GCTCAGCACAAACTCTTGTCTCTACACTTTAGCTCTTGTGATGGCATCATTTGTATGTAAAGGGTAGGGTTTACTTACTGAGTTTGACTGTGTTGGCATAAAATATTCAGCAGAGAGGTGAGAGAGGTTTCAGTATCTCTTCCAAATGGTGTCTCTGTTTTCCATCCTCCATTCCCACACCCTCCCAAGAAAAGTTTTATTTCTCTTCATTTTCCTTTTTCTGAGTGACTCACCTCCTAATTATTTCTTTCTATCTTCTTGTCCATCCCAGTTTACTCTAGATTTTGTTATATACTGTTTTTTCTTCAGGTTTGTGGTTATCTGTACCCTGTTGTAGTAATATGCAGTTCCAACAAAAAATAACAATAAAGCTGGGTGTGTCACAGCTACTGTAACTCACTCAGAAATGACAGACTTGGCAGCAATAGCAGGACAGTGAGTTCAACATCTTAGTTGCAGAAAAAAAAAATAGAAATCAGATTGTTTATACATTTGTATTGCTCAGATGAAATATGTAAACAGTTCGGATGAATGACTTGTGAAGAGTTTGTGCTGAGCCTGTGAATGAATGAGACTCATCTTAACCAAGCACTGTATTTCTGTGCAAGATCTTCCCTGTTTTTGTTTCTTCACCACCTTATATCAGATGTCTTTGGTTTCTTACTCCTTCTCCTTGTTTGAGGTCTGATGCCAGCCTGATAACTGTGAACTTGACAAGCTTTAAAAGAAATTCTTGTGTCTTAATTAAATAGATCTTATTTTCTTGTTAGAGAGAAAAGTCCATGGCATGTTCTTTTATGAAAAGAAATAAATCACAGATCATAATGACAACAGCACTAGGACTCCTAAATCACAAAATAGCAGTGTCCACAATTTTATTACACCCACAAATGTCTGTTAACCTTGGCAAATGAAGCTGAATTACTTTTTTTAAGCATAGGTTACTTGATACGGCTCAACCCTAATTTTGTTATTGGCAGCAGTTTTGGGTGTTGTAAAATAGGGACAGCATTTATTAGTAAGGATGCTTAAGTTTTAGTGACCATTCTGTACTGAGGACACTGGACCATGTGATGGCTTGGGAACTGTGACAAGATACATACCAGTAAGATTGTAAGACAAAATTTTTGGAGTTATTTCTTATCAGATCTTAATGGCTGATAATAATGCATGAAAAATAGGTTGTAGTATTCCTTTGTGATTGCGGTGTGGATACCCAATAGTTATAGTGTGGACCCTTTAAACTAAAAAAAATATTTTTTTCCTTCTTTTTCATGGATGGGGTGGGTGGGGTTTTTTATGGTTTGTATATTTTGGTTTTGTGTGTTTGATTTGTAGTTTTTTCAATGATGCAAAAAAATTTCAAACGNTTTTTTAAAAATTTGCACCACTTTCTTTAGTCAGCTGGAAGGTCTTTTAACATAAGCTGTGAATGCTATTTTAGCATTTAGTGTGTTGTTCAGTTCAGTTGTATATAAGCTGCAGTATACCTCCTATCCATGTCAGATTATATCTCTATCGTGTGTTCAGTGAAACAAAAAAAATCCCAAAGCATAATCCCAATTAAAAAAAAAAGTTAATTTAAAACTGTACTAGGTGTGCAGTGTGTAAATGCAGTCTGTAAATGAAGTCTCTTAAAGCTTTAAAAGTCCAAGTTAAACACAGTTTTTAAGAAACTGAATCTCCTTATGTCACACAAAGATATTCTTGAGATTACAAAATGAATTTTCAGTAAGTCTGAACAATTGAAATGTGTAAGAGAAAAATTAATGAACACTTTACCAATTGTAAAGGTATTGAGTAGATTTTTCCAATGCTTTTGCAAAGCCTGACATGCTTGATAGCAACTATAAGTTTCAATTTCCTTAATAAATACAGAAGTTTGGAGGTGCAGAAAAAAGTATAAACATGTTGATGTTCACGGTGGCTCATACTCTATCTCAAGTAGTACAGGATTCAAATCAAAGGCATAATTTCAACCTCTCCTGATGATGAGGAATGCAACCAATCCTGATGATGACGCTGAAATGCAACATTGAACATTGCTTCCTTGTTTGCTGGGTGTTCAGTTTTGATAGTCATGCATCTACTGCAATGATATTAAGAAAGTATGCATTTCAGCTAAAAATTTAGTCACATGTCTGTCTTTGTGTGCATTGGTGTTAGTAAAAAATACCATTAAATGATGGGTTGCATGTAGTGTCATATTTTAAGGTCTCATTGAAACTTTCCTCCTCATCTGCTTATCCTCACTTTCTTTTGATGATGCTCACACTTTTCCTGAGATAACAGTGTGTGCTAATAGTGTGGGTTTGTGGGGGTTGTTTTTTGTTTGGTTTTTTGGGGGAGTTTTTTGTTGGACTTTTTTTCCCCAATATATTTTTGTTTGTTATATCAGCACTCTTATCAAATAAATATAATCTATTGCTTTCTCTTTTGATCCCTCATTGCCAACCTTTTTTATCTCAGATAGGTTAGTGCTTTCAGACAGGGTTGTACAAAAAGACTGCCAACATTTCATGCAACAGAACAGGTCATGTTAAAGTGTGGCATGTCATCGTTTTTTGATTGCTTACCTGCCATTGAAATCCAAGGAAGTGTCCATGTTTCCTATTAGGTTTGAGAGGGGTGAGACATATTCTACATTGAAAAGTGCAGGGACTTTTTCTAAGATACCTTTGGGCTGAGAAGAGACTTTGCAGGACAATAATGAACTGGCCTACAGTGAGCACAGCAGTCTTACTAAATATTGCAGGTGTTTAAGTGCTGTTGCCTAGCAAACCACTGAATGGTTTGAGTAGTTCATATTTGTCTTTGTAAAAGGTAATTTTCTAGTGTTAGCTGGATGCTGTTTGTAAAGGTAAAGGAGTTGCCATAATGGTAGGAAAGGAAGACTGTAATTAAGAAATGCCTCTTTGTTCTCTTGCTATAGGATAACAGAATTTTTTTCTACTTCTGAGCTCTTTGCTGAGAATGTGGTTCCCTTCTGTACATGAAGGGTGATAAATGCTCCCCATCAAAGGGACTGAAATCATGAGCCTACAATCTGTTTGAATGCAGCTATGGAGAAGTTAAAAATTGAGTAAAGCACTCCACTAAAATGGAGCAAAGCAATTTGTGCCTTGCACTCAACTTCACTATAAGTACAAAGTTTCCCTATATTTACCTTTAATTATATATATGCAAATCTGAAAATCAGCTCTTCAGGAAAATCCCAAGGGGTGTATTTTCTGCTTGGTGTGATTTTAATTCTAGTTTAGTTAGTTTAGGGATTTGAATAATTTGTGATTTACTTCAGCATTGCTTGAGGCCTTCCAGTCATCAATCAGTGAACTGGTGTAATGTAGTTGTTTCTGCAGGTTTTTTAACCCCTTTCTAAATTTTGTTTCAGAGTTTCCAGTTTCTGATCGTGGCAGTGGTGAAAATGAAACCCCTCCACCTCTCCCACCACATCCTAGTGAGGATCTGCTGAATGAGGATTATAGTCACAGGTTGGACTTCAGCTCTTCTTAATTGTTATAGCACTAATTGCTCAGTAGTGGTTCTGATAATAGTTCTAATTGATTATTAAACCACTTTTTTTAAAAATTTGCACCACTTTCTTTAGTCAGCTGGAAGGTCTTTTAACATAAGCTGTGAATGCTATTTTAGCATTTAGTATGTTGTTCAGTTCAGTTGTATATGAGCTGCAGTATGCCTCCTATCCATGTCAGATTATATCTCTATCGTGTGTTCAGTGAAACAAAAAAAATCCCAAAGCATAATCCCAATTAAAAAAAAAAGTTAATTTAAAACTGTACTAGGTGTGCAGTGTGTAAATGCAGTCTGTAAATGAAGTCTCTTAAAGCTTTAAAAGTCCAAGTTAAACACAGTTTTTAAGAAACTGAATCTCCTTATGTCACACAAAGATATTCTTGAGATTACAAAATGAATTTTCAGTAAGTCTGAACAATTGAAATGTGTAAGAGAAAAATTAATGAACACTTTACCAATTGTAAAGCTATTGAGTAGATTTTTCCAATGCTTTTGCAAAGCCTGACATGCTTGATAGCAACTATAAGTTTCAATTTCCTTAATAAATACAGAAGTTTGGAGGTGCAGAAAAAAGTATAAACATGTTGATGTTCACGGTGGCTCATACTCTATCTCAAGTAGTACAGGATTCAAATCAAAGGCATAATTTCAACCTCTCCTGATGATGAGGAATGCAACCAATCCTGATGATGACGCTGAAATGCAACATTGAACATTGCTTCCTTGTTTGCTGGGTGTTCAGTTTTGATAGTCATGCATCTACTGCAATGATATTAAGAAAGTATGCATTTCAGCTAAAAATTTAGTCACATGTCTGTCTTTGCGTGCATTGGTGTTAGTAAAAAGTACCATTAAATGATGGGTTGCATGTAGTGTCATATTTTATTATGGGTACCTTGAAAGCTTCATGCAAGACTTCTGTAACTATTTTCTTTTCACTAACACAGAGTAATTACACTAGAATAATTTTGTTATTTCTGGTCTCCCAGGCAGGTATGTATGACATGATAAACAAACTAGTCTACACACATCAATGCAATTCAGCATTACTTTCTCAACTGCAACGGTTTGCTAGAATCTGTTCCTAATTTTTCCAGCAAGCTAGGAGAAAAACATTCTCTTAAATGCTCATGATGTATTAAAATGATGATAAATTTTCTGGCCCTTTGTCTCATCCTGAGTTTTCCAGTGTTGTATGGTTTTTCCATTTAGAACCTAAGTTCTCTTGAAATTGAATTGCTTTATCAAGTGACACTGATTTCACTGAAATTGCATTTCAACAAAATGCATAGGAGAATACTTAGGAAAGTATTTTGACACTGTACAACTAAACCTTTTGAACAATTTGGAAATAATCTTTTTGGTTGCTTTTCTTAGTACTTTTTTGCCTAAGAGTTCTTAAAAGAATAATAATTTTTCATTCTAATCAAAAAGAGACATGTGAGATTTCAGATTGCATTGAGGTGTTCCATTTTCAGCTGAAACATACTTGGAGTTTCACTCAGGTGCAATTTTGAAATGTTTAGAAAGTTGCCTTAAAGTAAAAGAATGAAAAAAAACCCAAAAAAAACAAACAAAAACAAAAAAAAAACAAAAACAAAGCAACCAAACACAGTACCCTGGAATTCTTCATTCATAGCACGCTCCATAAGACCTCCAGCCTCTGCATAAGTGGTACAAGGCTGTAAAATAATTTTATATTAGCAGATGCAGTAGAATTGATCCAGGTACATTACCAGTATTTCTCCTACATTCTGTAGCGTGTTATTTGGAAATGCCATGGTTAGATAGAACTAGCAAAATGGGAAGAAAATTATTACTAATCATTTACATTTATATTTCCATCTGTGATGAGAAACCAGGTGACTGAAAGTGTTAAGTCTCAGAAAAGGGAGTTGAGGATCAATATCTGATTTTAAAAATGCATGCTGTAAGCAACTGTAGGAAGAAACACATGTATATTTGTGCTTTCTTTAATTAGTTCACTTGTGGTTTGAACTGGTACCTAAATATTTTACATAACTTTTTTTTTTCTCCCTACAGCCCTATCATAAATTCAGCAGTGCATTTAACAGATCAACACATCAACTTCAGATCTTTGACACCAGCCAAACAGTCTGAATCAATTAATCTGAAAGCCTCAAAAAGCATGGATCTGGGTAAGAAAGGCTGGCATGACACATAGGTCAGCTTTTTAGCCTTAGCCCATCTGTACCATCTCTGTTTCTTGCTTTTGTTTCTTTAACACTCACATCAGGGAGTAAGTTCTGCAGAGGAGCTACAGTGATGGGGACAATGGTCAGCCTCCTCTAGCAGCTATTTGCAAATACCCTTTTTATTGGAGCTGAAGAAAGTTTGTTGGTTTTTTTGTTTGGTTTGGTTGGGTTTTATTTGTAATGGTCCATTGTATTGAAATCCTAGCTGAGGAAAAGGGGGAATGATGGAATAATGAGCAGAAAGACTTGCTGTACAAGTTTTGTATGTCTAAAATATAAAGCAAAACCAGCAATCACAAAAGTAATTTCTTTTATAGAATATAAATTTTTGTAAAATAACACTGGACAAAGGGTAGCATTCCTAACACAAGGTGTTTATTTCTTTATTGACAATGACAAACATGGGAATTCAAAGTGTTGCAGTAGATCTTTATAGATGCTTGAAGTGTGTAAGGTTATGGTTCTCTCTCTATCAGTGTTGTGCAGGAAATCTTGCAGGGGGTGAAGTAGAAAGTAAAATGCTCTTTCTATACCAGGAAAGCATTTGCAGGTGGAAGATTGAAGGGTTATTGCAGCTGAAAACCACACCATGTTTTATGAGGGTTCAAGAAAGCTTGTTAAGTCTCAAAAAAAAACAAATAAGGTTTTCTTTTTACTTTTAATTCTTCTTGACCACACTCAGTCTTTACCCATTGTTTGTTTGGGTTTTTTTCTGAATTCCAGTGTTGATGGGGAAACTTTGAGGACTACCATTAGGGTAGCTTTAATAACAGATTTGTTTGCTTTGGTGGATCAGACTTGGTACATCATTAATAGAAAGTGATTAATTTCATACATGGTTTCAAGGTAGCTTTTTGTTGCCTTGCAGGTTTTTTTTTTCCATTAAATGTTCCAGACTGGTCTTAGGTTTTGTATTGTTGATTTTTATTGTAATCTTAACAGGATATTTTGATGTAACATTAAACGTGTGTACTCCTCTAATGGCATGTAAGGAAAGCCAGACAGTTATTAATGCATGAAATGCATAAGAATGGATATGAATTATTGAAGGAAGGTCTTAAGGCAGAATTATAACACTACTGCATGACCAGAAAAAATAGGTCGCTTGCTCTTCTGTTCCACTATTTTGACAAAGAGTAATGGATTAGGTATTTCTTAAAGAATGAAAATGCTCCTCAAAAAATGACTCAGTTTATAGACTTGAGTCAAAACATATATTGTATGTAGTCTACTAGAAAAATGAATGTTCAACTTTACTGAGCCTTTTTTTAGAAAGATTTGCTTCCAGCTCCCACAGAAGTCCTAGGAAAGAATGCACACAAGCATCAGTGTAAAATCAGGCAATGGGAGCGTGTGTGAGAGCACATTCAGAACTGCCAGGTAACTCATAGTTCAAATTCTATACACAATCTGCTCTTGACACCTAGGAGCAATCCTTTAAGAATATAAAAGTCACTAAATCATGGTGGCTAAAAACTAAAATAAAATTGGATGCAAAAAATTTAAAAATGGATACAAATGTATCTTTCAGAGTGTTCAGAAATTGTTGCCTGTAGAAGGTAGCTGTTGAAAAGTCCCCTTGTGTTATAAAAGTTAAAAAATAAAAAGGGTAATAGTCAGTCTGATTGGATATGTGAAGCTAAATCTACTTGAGACACTCATGTAAGGAACAGGAGGGACTGTGAAAGATCTGCACCATATTGTTTTATAAATAACAATAGATGGGGTAAAATTCCTTGAACATAGCTTGGCAAATAGTGAAGATTAGGATGATGAAAGCTGGGGCCTTTTACAGTCATTCTTTAGCAAGCAGGAAAGTACCGTGTTTGGCTTTCTACCTTTTTAGATTTTAAGCAGAGGCTACTGTCTGAAAGAGGAAACAGAACAGAAACGTGAGAATCTCTAGTGAAGTAACTGCAATATAAAGTATTTCAAATACAAATAATATCCCAATAGTTTGGTATATAAAAATGTGCTTCCAAATAGAGCATTCATATAATACACATTCCAGGGTGGATTTTTGGGGAAACGAAGTTCTTTCTTAGGGTTTTTTTGCTTGCTTCTTACTTACCTGCAGTCGTGACCAATAGTAACTTCTCATCCCAACATGCAGCTGTGTACCCATTACTGATTACAGTGCACTGCTGAGAAAAAAGGAAAGAGGGAAGTCATCTTCCAGCAAATTTGGTAACAAAGGAGAGATGTCCTTTCTCTGAAAACTTCTAGATCCTATTTTTTCAGTACTCATGGGATGCTGTCCACTTACTACTTTCCTTTCGTTCTCAAGTTCTGCCAGTCCTCTCAAAAAAAATTATGATAGGGTGAACAGAAAAAAACACAGAACTGGAGTTCAGGAGGAGAGCTCTGAGACCTTAGAACACGTGATTTTGATGCAGTTTCTTTTTTTTTAAACCAAGTAGTCTCTGAATCATGTGTCTCCACAGATCTGTGAAATCACTCAGAGGTTGGGTCTAGAGACCCAGAATGACAATCACAAATTCAGCAGACAACAGAATTGATCTAATACAGGGCATAAATGTGAAATCTGTACTGCTGCTCACTTAGGAAACATTCTACTTCACCTTGAAATGCATATAATGCACCTATTGCCTGATTACAAAGGCCAGGATTGCTTAATGACACTGCCATCCAAAGGGTCATCGAAGGTGGGTAAAGAAGAAAATGCAAATAATGGATGTGAATCCAGATATGGATTGTGAATCTCATGTGAAAATAATACATTCATTAAATTAGGGAGCTAGTGAAATGGTATGGTAAGGGTCTTCCTGGCTTTGATGAGGGCTGATGTATATACAAGAGGCAAATCTAGTAAAGACTAGTCTATAATTACACAGGTTTAGCATTTTATAATTTAACACTGATGTTTATATTTTCAGTTTTATATATATTTAGGCCCAGAAACCTTTGAGTGTTTAATCTGATTTCCAGTCATAGCTATTTACAAAATAACAATTGCTATAAATTAACGTCCTCAGTGAATGATAGGAGGTAATGAGGATGGGTGATGAAAAGGTGTTCTGTACTGCTACCATTGTGCATCAGTTTGTTGCTGTCACTCTCCTGCAAACCCTGCAGTGAAAGGAACACTTGGCATATCCAGCTGTGGGTTACGTGCCAGTGGGGCAGCTGGAGTTTAGTTTGTTGACACCTGGTGCATGTCAGGGCTGTTGGCTGGGCAGCTGGGCAGGAGCAGAGGGTATGAACCACTGCCACCTGCTTGTTTAGGCTGTCGTGCCGTGAGTCCTGTGGACTGACACAAATCTTACATGCCAAATTCACCAATAGCATGAACCCAAAAGTAGCATTGATTGAAGTTGGTGTATTTCAAGAGCTCAGTTTCTTTCCAGATGAATTAGTCCTTGCTTGAACCTACTTGAAAAAATAAAACAAAAACAAGTGGCATATGTTATTGAGTTACTATTGTAGAATTTTTTTTTTAAAAATAGAAAAAAAGTACATGCAGTGGAAATAATTTTTTCAGTTTTGCAGAAATGAGTAGAACTTGCCTCATCTGTACAGATGTCCTTGTGCAGAGTATATGGGGCAGGGTGACTGGTTCCCTGTTTTAGTATCCATCATTTCCACAGAGATCAAATGCTTCTCAAAATTTATAGCTTCATTCAGAGTAATAGGCTACAGATTAGTTCCATGTCAGCTATAAGTCTTAATGTTCTTCCCTGCTGCTATGTTGAGATAATGACAGCACTTTCTGGATCACTGGCAGAGTTCATATCCTGTGTCTTATGGTAGATATTTCTTTGCCTTTCCCTACTTCTGTTTTGAACTGGTATTGATAAAAAGAGCACAGCCCTCTGTTTTCTTCTGCTGATCCTGGTACCTGATACATCCTCTCAGTTGCTTTTTTTTGGTTTTGCTTTTCACCCATGGTCATCCACATGTTAGCAAAGCAAAGATCCCCCTTATAAGTGTGACTTCAAGAATTTATGCAGAGCCAAACAAAGTCTGACTTTGTACTGACCAGAGTTGCACTGCATGCGAGGCTTGCACTTGTGCTTGGAGCGTAGTGTTAAAAATAAGCAGAACAAAATAAAAAAAATGTGGAAATAAATGTTGTGTTTTCCCTTCACAATGAACTGGAACACTTTTTTAGGAACATAACAGCAGATTGAAAATGAAGAAATCAATGGCTTCTAAATAAATCACTGGAAGGATGATTTTCCCTTTCTTTTAACAACCTTCTATACACACACATTTTCCCTTACATTACCACAGTTCTCTAGAGAAGAATTTCTATATAATATTTTGTCAGAATCCATTTTCAATAGTGTTTGTTATTTTAACTATATTAAAAAGGTAATTTTTGTAATGTTAATATGAAATTGTTTTTTAATGTTGCATTAGAAAGTGTAAATCAGTGTGCTCTATGAAAACGAAAGGAAAGAAGGTGTCTTATTATCTATCTCCAACACCCTTACTTTCCATAAATCTTTATGCACTGGAGTGATTTAGGCTGTGCATAAATGTACTGTAAAAACTACAACCATGGGAATTGTATGCAAACACATGAAAGTGTGGCTTGTTTTAACCCGAAGCAACATGAAATTGAATCATATGACTATATAGCAATTTTTTTGTGCATCAATTCAGGCAAAGTACCGTGTAGATTTATATTTGAGGATGTTGGTATAATAAGCCATGACCACTATCCCAAGGTGCTGCTTAATTCCCTCTTCTTTTCCCCATCAAAGGCAAAACCCCATAAATTTTAACTGATTAAGCTCTATAGCCTCAAGAAATGGTTATGTCCTTTACTTGATTTTAAATGTGAGTGAAATATTGTTTGCTGAAACATCATTAGACATACTTGGAATCCCTTAACCTTGCGGCATATTTATTAAAATATGGGGCAACTTACTTATTTAGGAATAATTAACAAGTAAATGTGCAAGGTATAAGGTATGCAGTATTCTGCAAGGAAGCAAGTATTTAACTAAATGCTAATTTCTTTGTTAGTGAGGGGATGCATTCAATTACAGTTCATACTTTTAAAATGCCTCAAAACAAAGGGAAACCCATGTCCCGTATCCAGAAGGATGTGGAAAATGCAATCAAGATGCTATTAGCTGCTTCATGGTTTGCTCTGAAGCAGATTATTGTTACTCTGAGTGTAATTTCTGTAAACTGAAATAACTATCTCAAAACATAGGCAAATGAGGACCAGACAGAGCTAATGAAGATCGGTCTTTCAAGCAATGTTTAGATTCAAATACAATTAAAAGAGTACATTTGGGAGGTCCCTAGTGAGAGTTATGGTATTAGTGGGACAAAAAGTAGTTTGGTATTTTAAAGTCATTGTTTTGTTTACCATGTTGTATATATGGAATATATTTATTTGTTTGCTTTGACTTGAAACCAATTTCAGAACTGCATTTAGGAGCTAGTTAGGTTTGTTACAGCACTAATGAGGAAATGGAGAAGACAGAGCAGAATTCTAAGACTCTTTTCAATGTTAATAGCCTATAACAGTAATATAAAAATCATCTCTGGAAGAGAAAGACTTTGCAAAAACAAAAATGTTATGGGTTAAGGAAAAACTATATCGCTTATGGCTGTGATTATCTTTGGTATCAAGGGCCAAAAGAGATTTTAACATTATTCTAACTTACATCATGAGTAGCTTTCTAGTACTGTCAGACTAGATGTATATTTTCTGAGGCTCTGCAGAATCAATCTTTACAAATGAACACACTACCATTTTCATAGTTTAAATGACTTTCAAATTTCTGTTTGCAAGATCTGTAAGTCAGAAATGAAACAAAATCATTTCTTAAGTGATAGGGACACTGTTAACTGAATTGAAATGAGATGGAAATTAGGTTTTCTCTGTATGAAAAGCGAGGCTTTTAACAAGGCTAATTTTGTTACTCAGTTTTATACCAAATCAGTTGAGGAGACAGTGAGTTGTGGCATAAAGGGAGAAGTGGGCAAAAGAGAATATCAACTGTTTGGACTGGTTTTGTAGAAATTGTCTAGGACTCAAGGAAGTTTGTTGTGGAGCAGACAGAGAGCATTGTGTGCACTGTGATGGTGACACAGCTAGAACGTGTAACACATGCTTGAGGTGGTATTTCTTTAGGCTGCTTTAGCATAAGTTTGAGTAGATCTGTTAATGCAGTTAGATTATTAAAGTGTTAGGGGGAGCAAATTAATTGCTTAATAGCAATTAAGTTAATGTATAACTACTACAAGAAAGTAAAGATGATAATGAAGTAACTTTTAAGAACACTTGTATAAATATGTTGTCTAAACTTTGTCTTAAATCTGTTCCCTATCAATGTTTTCAATCAGTGAATGACAGATTACATTAAGAACTTGTAGTTTAACCCTAGGAATTTGGAAGAAGTGTTAATGACATGCAGAAGACGGCGGGGGAGTTTTAGCCTAGTATGGTTTCTCTGGAACAGAGGTGAGAGAGGATAAGAAAAGACAACAAAAGTGTAAAAGAAGCCGTGATGGCCTCAATTAACAGTGTAACCTTCAAGAACAAGTAGTTATGGCACTACAAGAAAGTGAAGAAATTTGTATCATGCTGGCTGGGAAATTGTAAAACAATGTTTTTTTCTGTCAGGAGAAAAACTTCCATTTAAAGCTAAATGTGCCCAGTGGACAGCCTCAATGGTACTGCTGGTTCTTCAACAAGTAGTAGCAATTGCAGATGCAAGCTTAAGCATTTTCATTCTCATGTGCTGACACACAAGATGTATCCCTTGGGGATCTTCTCTGAATACAATTGAACTGAAGTATTAAATCAGCTCTAACAAAATTTTTCTGAAAAATCTAATTAAAGAAAACCTTGTACAGGAGAGAAAAAAGAATCCAGAATCATGGTTTGTATGTGACTTATTCCTTTCTTTGAATGTACTGAACAGGGCATCCCAAATGTTGTGTTAGATGCCATTTTGGAAAAGGTTTACCTTTCTTTTTTCTTTCCTACTTCATAAGTATAATTTTTCCTTGGCCCTTGTGCAAGCTTTTTGGTAGTCTCTGCACTTTTCAACACTGAAGTGAGCAGAAATCTATTAAGGACTCCTAAACCTTCAAGAGTGAGTAGCTGGTGGATATCCAGGTCACCCCAGAACAAATGCCCTTACATGGAGGAAAGGTGAGAGAGGGAATTACTAAAGGAAAATATTTTTTTACCCTTCCTGATACACACATTTTATTGCTACTGTAGATTTTAGCCTGTGGTCTTTGTATGTAGCACTTCAGGGCAAACCTAGGACAGGAAGCAGCATTTTCTAAGTGGTGGTTGTGAGACAACAATTGGCACCATTTCACCAAGTGATTTATGCCACTCCTGGATGGGGAAACATTTCACCCAGAAAATAAAACCAGCAGGAGAATTATGTCCTTGGCACTATCACTGACTAAAACTAATTGATGGTGCACTGTCTTTGTTATGATGAAAGGGCTGAGTAAGGATACAGTTCACCAGGAAAAAACAGTGGCCCATTTGAGGCTTTGCTTTTTTATCATATGTTTATAACATATAAACTGATGGATTCAGAGAAGTGTAGATACATCATTCATATAAGTAGTTTGGGAATACAGCCCTTGTGAATGGATTCATGTACAATAAGAAATTCATGTTTGATTTCCTATTAACTAATAAAAGTATCTGTTAGGAAATGTGTTTTCTAGGAAATTCTTTTGTGTTTCAGTGTCTTACATTATTATTCCTCATTAATTGTAATTTTAATCCTTGTTTGCTTCTTTTCTGAGTGCAGAACTGCAGCTGGTCTTCAAAGGTACGTGTCAGTTTGTCCAACAGAAACACACGTGACTTTCACATGTTTAGAAGATTTTTTAGTGTCTCTTAGTGTGCAAAACTGATCCTTCAGAAAGGAGTCACTTAAATTGAATAGCAGCACCTTGTATCTTGTGAATGGTAGTGACTCTTTGGTTTGGGGAAAAATAATGCAATTGAACTGGGCAGAAGGAGGGAAATTGGTTATGACAGCTGGCAGCAGCATTGATTTGTGCTTCTATAAACTACAGTTTAGAACTAGATTGTTGGCCTGTATGTAAGCCTGGACTGGATTTGACACAAACTTTGAGAAATACAGAAGGTTGTTGTGTACTAAACCGTTGGAAATCATGCAATTCAAATGAAATGGCTACCTTGGCTACCTTGAGCAGGGCACAGAAATGGCAGTCAAAACATTTATGTGAAGGACAGGAAGGCATTCTGGGTGCTTTTAATGTTGCTAAACAATGCTATTTATTTTCTTGAGGCAAAACAGCACTCCAGTGTATTACCACAGGAAATACTAAAAAACTCTGATCATTCATGGCAAAAAGAGATGGGGTTCCTTACCCTCTGTCGTAATTGTTGGCATAGTTTTAAAAAAATAGTATCATCTGGAAAGATTTGTTTGGTTTAGTAATATTCCATCTTTCATAATCTGTGGTCTTGCTAGGCCCCCAAATGTCCGTGTTTTTATTAAGTAGCTGTAGAACTTCTTTCATCTTTTATTTCAGCAATTACTTTGAGTACTGACAGTGAATGCATAACTGGTTTCTGTGGTGAAAATGTGGTTCCTAAATAATAGATGTTACTTTAAAAGAGCCGGAGTGATTTCTACAGACAAAAATTACTAACTTCATGAACTAACAAATTCCTGGGGTTCCAGGGACATTTCAAAATTTGAAATATTTGATTCACAAGTTGAGGGGAAGTATCTTCTTGTTTGTGAATCTGTTTATTCTCTTGTATGAATCCTTCCCAGATTTTTGTTTGAGTTTTTCCTTTGGAGTCCCCAAATTTGACGGTTTCAATTTTTTTGAGATGTTATGCACTTAATAATTCTAGCTTAAGAGTATATAGTAATTCTAGTTCTCCATAAAAATAGTTACTTGTGTATATTACCAAGTGTGATCTTCTTGAACTGAAAAATTTCAGTTATTTGCAAAGTAATTACTTTCTGATGTTGGAATATAAAAATAATTAGAATTCTTTTTACTTGAGTTTTAAGTCTTTCAGGTGATTTTCTACAAAGACAGGCCAAAACTAGTGTAATCTTAGGAAAAAATTTCCTCTTATTTCTTGCCTTTTTAAGGTAAATAACTAGAGAAGGACTATTTTTGTCATAACTGAATGTATCAATTTTGAACAATGTGCAAAGAGGTGTTTTCAAGTGGTATTTTGTGGAACAGGATGTCCCATGTACTCCCTCAATGAAATCTTTAGTTGCAAAGTTTTCAACCTCAGCATACAAATACATATCTTCTGTTAGCTTTTCTGGTTTTGGCTTGGGTTTTTTTCTGTTGTCTTCTCTTTGTTTCTGGGGGGAAACAAGGGAAGGAATGGGATTCCTATCCAATGGACTTTTCTGGGCTACTTCTGTTCAGTCTAATGAAAGATGGCCATCCTAGAAGGCTCTGCCTAAGCATAATAACCCATGAAATGAAAACTGCCCTGTGGAGGTGCACACGTATTTTGCTCAAACTTTGATATAGAACTTTAATATTTGCATTTCCCAGATTTTGTGCATGTGTGTGCTTAAACTCATAATGCTAACCTTGTATTTTGGTAAGATTATTTTTCATTTTTTAATAATTTTATTCTTCCTTTTTTCCCTCCAGTATTAAAATCTAATTTTTGTGTGTGAAGCTGGTGTGTAAAGTATGATTAAGTTAAATGGATTTATCCCTTTTAATAATGTAAAACTTAGTTTCAGGCAAACCAAGTCATCAGCATAGCTTTTAAAAAATACTGTCAACCTTGGGTTTTGTCTTTTTTTTTAAAGTTCCTATGTACTGTAGCATTACCTGCTTTAAGTAATTACCATACATTATACTGGTTGCCACTAGTGACTGCTATAATTAAGGTTGTGAATCAGTTTCCATTATAATCCCTTGTTTTCACACAATCATAACTTGTCAAAACACTAACCTTTAGGACCAAAGTTTTCCACAGTTGTTTTGCTTAGAGAGAAATCTGGGGGGAGGGAGCAGGAAAAGGAATTTGAACTATCCTTATAGTAAATCCTTGTCCAGTCATTTTGCATTATAGGATCAACTCCTGCATAGCAAGGAGTTCTATAGTTATCATTTCCAGGGATTAAAAAACATTGAAAGGCCAAGGAGTGCAGAATTTCCTTGAATTTTGGTTGCACTTCTAATTTTGACTAGTCTTATTGTCATTTACTTTAGCAGAACCTCTACATAATGCTGCAATCAGAATTAGTCTTCCTTTATTAGTACCTATGTCCCATAAAAACCCTACACTATGTCAATTTGCTGATAATCAGGTGACAATTAGATCACAGCAGTAGAGGAGAGATCCAGTGGTCACTTGTGGATTCATGACTACAGTTGTGAGTCCCAGTCCTGAATTTGATGTTGATTTTTGAGGGGAAAAGCTTCCCTAAATGTGGAGAGGCAATAAAAGAAAATATTTAGTGTGATTATTTTCCCAGTAGTAACTCCTAAATGTCAGTAACTACTGTACTGCTGTCTCCTAGGTATAGCAGGTATCATGTCAGATAACCCTCTATGTAAACTTTTTATAGTGACCACTATAAAGCTTGTTTAAGTTTGCATTTATGGAATTTTCGGTATGACTTGACAATTTATTTTATCATATAAAAAGATTATGTTTTAAGGCAAGTTATAAGGGAGTGCTTGGGCAGACAGAGTTGAAGGATAAGATTTCAACCCTAACATTCATTTCCTGTTCTTGTTTTATCATCCCTAACATTACATTTACCACTGTTTCTTTGCATAGAATTCATTTTAAGGAATAGTGATTGGTTCTTCCCCTCAGCCCTCCAGGAGAGTATTTTAATTAGTTTCTTGAGATATATGATGATAAACTGAATTTACTGAACAGAACTTCCAACACCTCTTACATTCAGAATTTGCTTCTTCACTACTGTCTGCAAATTGTTGCTACTGCAAACATCTTTCTTATAAGATGTGAAATACTACAAAGTTACAAATTTATAGACAAAATATAACATAAAAAAAATGCATAAGCCATTAAAAAGATCAGGATTCGGGAGACCTTATTATCTGCAGAGGTCCCATGAGTCAGTGAGATGTCTTGCAGATTGGAAGGTTTCCACATCTGGATTCTTTTTACAATTGAAGTCTTTGATCTGAAATTGTTACAACTCTCCTATGCCCTGTGATTTGTCTGGCAAGATGAGTTATTTACAAGTGCAATTGCTCTTCTGACAACTCACTTTTGAGTGTGTAAGTTCTGAGGTCCTGATCTGTAACCCAAAAGGACTGCTGGTAGTCCTTTTATTGGTTTCAGAGGGCTTTGATTCAGATATGTGGACTTTGAAGCACCCCATGTGGATTAGGTAAAGAAAGGCTTTTTTTTAGATTATTATAATTTAAAGACTCAGGATGCTGTGTCTGAAATAATTTGACAGTGTTTCAAAGGCTTGTGAATTTAAATAAGTTTCTGATCTTTGTGTCTTTTCTTTTATTTCTCCAGTGGCAGATGAAAGCAAAGTTGGTTTGTTGGCCGGACACAAATCGGGTAAGCTGTCCTCCTATTTTGGAGAAAAAGTCAGCAACTTGAAAGTAGAATGGGCAGTAAATGAAATCAGCTTCCAGAAACTGTGGTGATGAAGACAATTGCAAATTGAGGCATTACTTTGTAAGCACTGAGTCCAAGTTGAACAATGATTAATCAGGGGTTGCTCTTAGCCAGGCAGTGTATGTAGCCAAATCATTATCAGGAAGAGCTATAACTTTATTTTTCAGTACAGGTGTTGTAAATTGAAGAAAATGCACTTTCAAATAAGTGGAACTGCACTCTTATGGAGTATAGAGACTTAAACAATACACAGTTGGAGAAATACAAGTATTTCTTTGCTTTTTCTTCTTGCTCTGAGTTACACTTCCATTACCAGGAATGTTGAAGACAACACTAAAAAATTTTACAGAGTAAAAAAAAAATGTTACAGCTTTTCCTTTTCTTGTGCTTGTGAAGGAGCAATAATTTTCAGGCAATCGTAATAAAAAACACAAAAAACATGCTGCAGTAACTGTACCTGCTTACTAAATAAGCTCTGCCAACCATGCCATGGCATTGTACAGCTTGCAGCTGTTGCATTAAAAAAAAAAACTTCCAAGGCAATGTCACATAAGACTGCAATTTTTCATGATCTGTGGGTAAGCTGGCATGAGAAACCTTAAACTTCCTAGAAAACTTTAGTTATTCAGCAGTGTCTTCTGATGTTAGAAAATCCTGAAGGTTCAGCCTGCCCCTTTGTAGCACATTGTACATTGCCCTTTGCCACTCCATGATAGGTCTAAGCTGAATTCATGTAAAAGAAGGTCAGCTATGAGATTCCTGATTGTTTATGGTGTTTTTTCACTGTACAACTGGGTGTCCTTTAGTTCTCTGGTGTGGATTTTCCTTATCTGAAGACCTTTTCCTGAACTTAGTAGACAAATTCTTTTTAGATTTTTTTGGCATCTTTCCTAAGCCTGTGAAGTTCTTGGATTCTCTTTCTGAATCAGGGAATAGTTCATATGTCTTGTAATATTATCACTCCTGGGAAGAAAAAAAATCTTTCAACTTTCTCTTTCGGGAATGTGAAAGCTTCAAAGAAACAATCTTGTCAACTTGAAGAAGCTGAGGGTGTTGCCCTTGGGCTTTTCCCTGTTCAGAAAAATTACTACAAACATTGCAATACCATGCAGTTTACCAGAGATCAATGGGATTCACTGCTATCAAAGAATATGGGAGGGGTAAGATTACAACTCTTTGGCAGTCAATTGTTTTAGATACATTAAGCTTTGTAATATAATTTTTAGTAGCATTTGATCTTTCTTCTGCACACTTCTGCAGATTCTTGAAAACTGACTTTGAAAAGTTTTCTGTTTGAAGATACCTACAAATTTTATATGAACACGTGGACCTGTGTTTATTGAACTTTGACTTGTTTGCTTTACTTTTTCCTCACAGTTCTCTTACATATACCTAAGATCTTTCAGATCACCCAAGGAATAGATACAAAGATTCCTCAAGGCGTTTCTTTCTTTTCCCTTTAAGAATAAAAGAATCTAGCTAACTTCTGAGACAGTTGGTGTGTAAATTATTTTTATTGGTCCTATCCACATTAAATACTGTTTAAATACCATTGAAAAACATTTCTCCTGCTCTCTATGTTCCATTTGCTAACGTTTCCTAAAGAGAAATCAAGCTGCTATTTTGGTTTCCACATTTTTCCATTCAAATATTTAATTTAAAGGTCTGTTCAAGAACATGGTGTTCTTTTTCTCTGGTTCCTTTTTACTCTATGCTTTCTGGAGTTATATGTCATATGTGCAATTGTCTGGCATTCAGTCCTACCACAGAACTTCTGTTTTAAACATCATTCATTGTGCTGTCTTCCTGTAGGTACCTTAAGAATGTTAAAAGGAAGACATTGCAACTTTTTGTGCTGTGAGCAAAACACAGTTATTTTCTCATTACAAAATGAAGAGTTTCCATCCTATTCTAGACTTAAGGAAACTAAACGTATTTCTCTACAGAATTAATTATCACCTACTAACAATCAATGCAATTATCCTATCTCTCCTTCAACATGACTTGTTCTATAAAATGCACAGCTGAGTAATTCTCTCTAGGGAAATATCCTTTCTATTTCTTCTGGGGCAGTGGCTCTTCAAGCATTTAGTCTCAGCTTTTGGAACAGCTACTTTATCCCTCACATACTACATGTTACTGAGCAGCAGCAGCAGGAGCTAGAGGCATGCATTAATTTCAAAAAGCATTATCACAATTCTCCGTAAGACTGAGGCATTAGAAAGATCTGTAGCTCTAGCCCGTCTGTCTCTTTGTATGCTGCACCCACAAACAGTAGTTCTGTTCCCCTCACCCTCCTTAAAAAGTAGATTTGATTTTTAGAAGTATGTCTGGACATATCCTGAGCTTGTAAGGATGTTCTATAGAAAGATGGGTAGAGCTTTGTTCCAAACATATATATGACCCTCACAGAAATCCACCTGTGAATTCTGGTTGTCATACCTGGCCTGTATTTCATCCTGCTGGATGGAAGACCCCTGCCGTGGTTACAGGTGTTCTTAGTGTTGAAAATATTTTCCACAGTGCCATCAGAAAAAGCACTGGAGTTCTGTACTGACGCAGCCTCCTTGTTCTTTTCTGGGAAAAAAAACAGATTTCAGAGTGTGTGAGTGTGTATTTGTGTGTGTGTGTGTGTGTAAGACAACTTCTCTGAGTCCTGTAAGAAGAATTTGTCCTCTCTAACCTTCCTGCCTTCCCGTGTGCTCAGCAATGGTATGCCAATACAAATGATGAGAATGAGAAGCAGACAGAAGTGGTGCCTCTGTTATAAAGCAGAGATCCTTGAAAATTCACGAAGATGAAAAATCAGCAGCTTTAGCTTAGTTTTTCATAAACTCCTACCTTTTTGTAAAAGCAGTTCTAGGATAGTTAAGAGAATATCCCTTATAAAGGGCAAGGCTTGCATATCAAATATAACCTGATTTATATCAAATACTGAAATTGAGTACCGAATTTTTTGCAGCTATTTTAATTTTTTTCTAGAATTCTTTTTTTGTGTTCTGATTTACTGCTCAGGCCACTTTTTAATATGTATTGACTGTCTGCTGAGGTCTCTGCTGACACAGCTCTTTCAGATGATGCAGTGCTGGAGAAAAGCTGATGACTCTTTCTTTATGAGCGCTGACATATTAATTAGCAAAATGGTCAAAAAAGCTTTCCTATTTTTATTTTAATGTCACTAGACCATGCTTTTGGCTGGGGTTGTGTTTCAAGACAGTCTTGAGACAAGATGAGTAAGATCTTATTTTCTTGCCGGCTGCTATGTGAGGAACATGTGACTGGGCTATGGCTTAGTACCAGCAAGGCTGAGTGATAGGGGGTGGTTCTGTTACCCAGCTGAATTTGAATTAATGCTGTGTGGTTAAACCACAACATATGGCAAGAGATAGGCTTAGGACTTTAGTAGGAAAAGGCCCATTGGGATAGTTGGAAGGATGCTTCTGGTCAAGCTCTGCCCCTTACTGCTAATTTTGCTGCCAGTGCAGTTCCCACGTGGCTGTTCAGCCTGTAGGTAAGGGTTGGTGTTCTGGGAAAGAAGGCCTGGAGAGGCAGCTGTGCAGCTAAATCCTGCAAGGGCAGGCTGTCCTGGGGCCTCAGTGCCATCACAGCTGCACTGCTTCACGTGTGGGTGACTGAGTTGTGCTTAAACTGCAGTTCAGATGGAAAGCGGAGGTAGTTTGGAATAGTTTAGGTTAAAGGTCTTGGTGTATTTCTGCATCCTTTAATGCCAAGATGTATTCTGCATTAAGACATTTTACTGAGATTTTGTTAAAGCTAAGCAGGAGCTATTGGAACACCAGGAAAATCCAGTGGTTTATGCATAGTTTTGTAGCACAAGAAGCTTCTTTTTAGTCAAGGAATCTAGGGGGGTTAATAGTGGATTTAGGAAAGACTACAGAAAGCTTAGTGCATGCTGCTGGGCTTGTTTGAGGCTGGTGCCATTGTAATAAGTTTGATTTGTAGATAACACAATTATGTTGAAGAGGTGGATGGGGAAGTGCTGTTCTCCTCTCCTTATGCCAGGCTTTATAATTTTATTAAATGAGCCTTCTTGCTGCTGTAGATGTCATAAAAGCTCAGATTTTCAAAGGCAGCATTGGGTTTAGTACTGAGTTCATAAGGATTTATATAGTAACTAGGTCCACAGTAGAAAAGACTCATGTAAATGGCTGAGCTACCTGACATAGGCAATAAAGTGCCTATCCAAACAAGGGCCTTGTTACTAACTGAAAGCATATATCATATGGAATCTGACCCTTCCCTCTGCATTTCTGAGAGGAGAAAAGAAGGCTGATTTTAGTTCATTTTATTTCTCTTTGAGAATAGGAGTATAATACTTGGCTGCTTCAATTATTCTTGTAAGTGTGCACAGGACCTGTCTACTTCCCAGTCTGCGGTATACCTCAGCAATACCTCAGGTGTAGCCTGACCTATGTGTCTGGGCTTGGATACTGCATGTAAGCAAACTGTGGTGTCACTGGAAGCTGTGCAGTTTGATTTTTCCCTTCATTCAGCCCATGTGATGCTTGGTGCCATTTCAGTGCAACTGCTACACAAACAAACACAAATACCTTTCTATGATGCTTCAGTTCACTCTATTACCCACAACTCGTGCCTCTGTAAGCTTTGAATCATTAAGCTGTGGGTTATGTTTGATGTTTTATTGTGGGGAATATTTCTGCAAGATTTTCCACTCTTTCCCTGTTACATTCACTTGGGCATCTCTCCCTGGATTATTATATTCTTGTGGTAGTGTTGTTGTTCCTGTTATTATCAACATTATCATCATCATCAACTTTGATTATGATTCTCCAAGCAAAGTGTTGCTTTGAACTTACAGCTCCAAATAAATTCTCATCTGAGAATATGTATCAGTTCATGCAGCTGAGAAGCAAAAAATAAGATTCCTTTTTTCCTTCTGGTCACTTGGGGAATGAATG